CGCCTCGTTTGAGACATCCTTAGGACCTGTTCTGAAAGCGCTGAAGTCCAACCCACCAGACAGGCGAATCGCTTGAGACGACCCCGCAATCTGGCGTGAGCAGGCGAATGTCCTACCCTCTGGCGGCTCCTCCTCAGGGTGCTGAAACCAGCGCCTCGCTCGAGACACCCTCACAATCTATTCTGAAAGCATCGAAGCCCAAGCCACCAAACAGGCACACCATCTGAGACATCCAATGGGTGCGACAGGACAATTGTCCTACCCCCTGGTGGCTCCTCTTTGGGGTGCTGTAACCAGCGCCTCGGTTTAGACATCCTCACAATCTATTCTGAAAATATCGAAGTCCAAGTAACCCAACAGGCACACCGCCTGAGACATCCACACATTACTCTGTGCGTGAATGGGCAAATCCCGTACCCCTGGCGGCTCCCCCTTGGGGTGCTGAAGTCAGCGTCCCGCTCGAGACATTCTCGCAATTCCAATGTGAGGCGAGCTTGAGTGTCAGTGGTGTGTGCGACTGAGTCTGAGTGTGAGTGAGTCTGAAGGTGAGTGACTCTGAGTGTGTATGACTCTGAATGTGAGAAGTGAGTCCGAGTGTGAGTGTATCTGGGTATGAGTGTATCTGAGTATGAGTGTGTCTGAATCTGAGTGAGTCTGTGTGTGAGTCTGAGTGCCAGTGAGCCTGAGTGTGAGCGAGTCTGAGTCTGAGTGTGTCTGAGTGTGAGTGAGTCTGAGTATGTGTGATCTGATTGTGAGTGGGTCTGAGCATGATTGACCTGAGTGCGATGAGAGGGAGGAGGAGGCGGGAGTAATATTGGACATGGAGGCGCCCCTGTAAGAACAATAACCCCGTACTTAGGAGAGGGGAGAAAAAGAACCCCAGACTTCGGATATGGGGAACAAAGAACTTCTGAGGCGCGCCGAGAGGCCCCAACAAGTCCCAAGAGCACAGCATTTGCTCTGAGCGGGCCCGTTTCAGATTCAGGATCCACCCGCGCTGGTCCTGGACCCGAGTCTAGCCACCAAGTGCCTCTGTGGACGTGTGCGGTCTTGGGGCATGCATGGGCTTTCTCACCGATTTCCTCCATGTGACTTCGGGCGCGTCCTCGCATCCCTCGGACGTCCCAAGGGATCATGGCTCCCTTGCGGCAGTCTGGATGGTTTTTCGAGGGAGGCTCCAGCCCAGGCGGGCGCGCGACGCGCGCGGGTGGTCTTAGTCTGCGATGGATGCAGATCTTGCTAAGGAAGGATGGCATTTCAGGCGGACGTTCTATTTTGACGAGGAGCCGCCCTTCCTTCGTGTATCTTTTCGAAGTTGTTCAAGCGACCAGGTACGGCGCAAAGGCGATAATCACATTTTGCAAACGGCCCCACGTCCATCCGCGTAGCTGTTGGACACTTTTCGGACGAATGTGTGCGGCGCCAGGGCGAGAGCTACACGTTGAAGGGGAACCACCCTCCATCCGTGTAGCTGCTGGACGCTTTTGTGCGCGGCGCTGCGGCGAGAGCCAGATTTTGAAAGCGCCCCTCTCCATCCGTGTAGGTGTTGGAAGCTTTTCAGACGAGTGTGCGCGGCTCTGCGTCGAGAGCCGCACGGTGAAGACGGCCCCGCCTCCAGGCACTCCATTGCCGAGAGCATCTCAGGAGACTGTGCGCGGCGACGAGGCAAGAGCAACATTTTGAAACCCACGCTGCCTCATGCGTGCAGTTGTCGGAACTTTTGGACGCGTCGGGGGTCATAGGCGGGGAGGGGGTCTCAGGCACCACGCCTGACCCGCCCTGCCGACGCGTCTGGTGGTCAGACGGGGAACCGTTCGCTGTGAGCAAAAGGGATGGAGGAGGAAGGGCGGGGCGGCGTCACGCGATGCTGATTGTGGCAGCGCGGCTGCTCCTCATCGCGCTGGCCGTGAATCGGCCGTTGAGGATGCTGGAGGCGCCGGTCGTGCCTGCCGGGCGTGCCAATGAGTTGGCCGTGCAGGTGGCGATCACATGGGGCGTGCAAAAGGTGGCGCTGCACGCCGTGAAGATGGCCGGGCAGGGGGGATTGTTTGTTCTTTGCCTTCTTGGATCTCTTTTTTTTGGGGGGCGGGGCTGATGGGCTCGTTTTCCACCACCACCACCACCATAAGTTGGAGGGGAAGGGGGGTCCTCCTCCTCCTCCTCCTCCTCCTCCTCCTCCTCCTCCTCCTCCTCCTCCTCCTCCTCCTTCCCCCTTCCACCGTGTGGTGGTGGCGGTGGAAGACAGGACCATCAGGGGCGGGTCGCCACGGCCGGAAGTCCTGGGCAGAGCGCGCTCCGGGAGAGGTCTGGGCGTTGCTCCGGCCCAGGCCCTCCCAGGGCGTCGCGGAGCAGCGGCTTCGGCCCCCGGGGAGCTGGCTTCGGGCTCGCGGTGGAAGGCTGCACGGTGGTAGTGCCAGCGTTCGGGCAAGCATGCGCGTGAGGCCGCGAGGCCCCGGAGCTGCCGTACGACGCAATCCCGTATCCCTTGTGGCTCAAGCCTCCGAGACGGAAGGCGCGGCAGCCGAAGCCGCAGGGCGGATCGGGACTCTGCGGGGCATGGCTACTGGAGCCATTCGGCTGTCACTGCTCTTTGCTACTGCAGCGGGTGCGCTGCACAAATCGGGCGATTTTGTCAACCGGTTCCCAAACCTCATACCACCCGTTGACTACAATTTGGATGGCGATGGCTCGCCGCCGCACTCCCTTGGTAACATATCAGCCATTCGAGTGTGCACCAACGGATTCATTGACATATCTTGTGGTGTGGATCAGGTCAAGGTTCTGTTCTACCGTGAAGACATCATGCGGGTTTGGGTTGGCTGGAATGGTAGTTTTTCGGACCCCGCATCGGACGACATCGTCGTAGTTCGCCCATCAGCTAACGGTGCCATCTTAACAGACATGGGCGGCTATTATGATATACGCTATTCGAAGGACTCTGATGTCATATTCAGCTGCCTGCGGCAAATCTCGCCGTCTTGCCAGCCCAGCACCTTGGGTGGCGATTGTCCTCTGTGCGCAAAGGAGGCCGTGATGTGTGACACCTCGTGCCCCGAGGCTTGGGGAGAGTTATAAGATGCGACGAACTTTTCCGCGCCGCGTCGGAGGCTCGCCTCTCGACTTCGTCACTTTCCTTCCTTTCTTCCGTCCTTTCTTGAGCTCCTGTGAGGCTGACTTGGCGGTCCCTTGGGCCACTTTTGGCCGTCGTGGGTCCCCTTTGGGCCGTCTTGGGTCTCTCTTGGGCCGTCGTGGGGCCCTCACGGCCGTCGTGGGGGGCCTCTTTCGGCCGTCGTGGGCCCATCGTTGGGCCGCCTTGGGCCGTCGAGGCTTCGACCGTCTCGGGTCCCACTGGGGGCCCTCTTGGGCCAGCTTGGGGCTCTCTTGGGGCCGTCCTGGACCGTCTAGGGGCCCTCTTCGGCCCTCTTGAGGTCGTCTTGGTGGATCGTTGGGCAATTTTGGGGCCCTCTTGGGCCGTCTTGGGGTCCTCTTGGAGGCCTCTAGGGCTGCCTGGAGCTGAAGAACGCCCGAAGAGGTGCAGACGCAATCGATGACTGGCGTCTTCGTGCCCTGCCGGGGGGGTCCCCTTGTGGCCCTCCTGGGCCGTCTTGGCGGCCTATTGGGCCGTCTTGAGGCCACCTCGGGGCGCTCTCGGGCCCTTTGGGGCCGTCTTGGAGGCCCCTTTGGGCCGTTTTGGGGCCCTGTTGGGCCGAACTCCTGTGGCCATCTCGGCCCGCCTCCTTGTGGCCATCTTGGGCCGTCTTGGAGGCATCTTGGGCTATCTTGGCAGCCTCGGTTGCCTGCCTCGGCCGTCCTGGAAGCTCGGGGGCGCGGGCCCGTTGCTTTTGGTTAAAGGGATCGTGGTTTCGGGAGCACGAACCCCTTGCGTTTAGCAGGGGTCGTGGCCTCGGGAGCTCAAGCCCATGCTTTTCCAACATGGGAATCGTGGCATCGGGTGCGTGGACCTCATGGTGCTTTTGCAAGGAATCGTGGCCTCGGGAGCGCGGCTAGTTTTTAAGAAGGGGAAGGGGGGGCGATGTATGCAATTGGACGCTAGGAGAGCTGGGGGGGGGGGTCGTTCAGAAGATCACAGGAACCCTGCCAGGCAGCACTTTGCGCTCTACCACGTTCTGCCACGCCTCAACGTGCCAGGGGACACGGTGACGGATTGAGGGCTTCGAAAGCGCCTCTGATGTTTTCATTACTGAGCCATGGTGTGGAACTTTGGGCGGAGAAGGCGAGCATCACGCGTAATTCCACCGCTACCTTCCAGACCGTCGGGCAGGGTGCCGACGAGTTTTTTTTTGGCGGGGGTATGCAGAACGGCCGCTTCAGCCACAAAGGTACGCGCATTCGAATTAGCGCAGATGCCAGTTGGGCCGACGGGAGCAATCCGAACGCGGCGCCGTTCTTTCTGAGCAGCTCTGGATACGGAGTCTACCGAAACACTTGGGCGGCAGGCTTCTACGACTTTACAGGCCCGCATGAAGCCGTCATGGCACACAACGAGGACCGGTTCGATGCTTTCTTCTTCGCGGCAAGTCCTCGCGATTATGCCGCGCTGCTTGAAGGCTATACTTACATCACTGGCAGACCCTTCATGCCTCCCATCTATGGCCTCGGCCTGGGTGACTCCGACTGCTACCACAACGATCGCCACGGCGATGACACACGCGTTGTGCAGTCGGTTGCCGACAAGTACAATGCCTTGGACATCCCTGCTTCTTGGTTCCTGGTCAACGATGGGTATGGGTGTGGCTACGGTGTCGGCCCTGAGAAATTTCCAGCGAACTTCAGCACCCTAGACTCGGTTGTGTCGGGGCTGCGCGAGCGTGGCTTCGTGACGGGGCTCTGGTCTTCCACGGGGCTGCCCAACATCCACCGGGAGGTGGCCGGCAGCGGTGTCCGCGTGGCCAAGACGGACGTAGGCTGGATTGGAGCAGGCTACAAATACGCGTTCCAGTCCGTCAACCTCGTCGCTTCGGGGATCGAGAACAACAGCGATGCGCGTCGGTTCAGCCAGGTGCCTGCGGCAGGTGCCGCCAGCGTGCCAGCTCAGCACTGGGTTGGCGACGCTTCGAGGATGGAGCTCGTCTGGGCCGTCATGCGGCCATCTTGGGCTCCTGCGGGACCGTCTTCGGGGTCCCTCGAAGCCCTCTTGGGTGACTTCGGACGCCTGTTGGACAGTCCTGGGGCTTTCCTGGGCCGTCCTCGGGCCCTCTTGGCTGTCTGTGGGGTCTCTCGGGGCCGTCGCGGGGCCGTCCTGGGACCGCCAAGGGCTGTTCCCCAGCCCCCGCTGGGCTCTCTTTGGGCGTCCTCTTGGGGCCGTCGTGGAGGAGGAGGAGGAGGAGGCGGAGGAGGAGGAGGAGGAGGACGAGGAAGAGGAGGAGGAGGAGGAGGAGGAGGAGGAGGAGGAGGAGGAGGAGGAGGAGGAGGAGGAGGAGGAGGAGGAGGAGGAGGAGGAGGAGGAGGAGAGGAGGAGGAGGAGGAGGAGGAGGAGGAGGAGGAGGAGGAGGAGGAGGAGGAGGAGGAGGAGGAGGAGGAGGGGGAGGGGGAGGAGCACCTCTGCAGCCGTCCTGGGTCCTTCGAGAGGCCGTCTGGGGGCTCTCTTGAGCTGTCTCGAGGCCTCCCTTTGAGGATTGTAGTGTACTGTTGCGGCCGTCTTGGGGCCATCTTGGATGCCTGTAGAGCCGCCCAGAGCTGCACGGGGCTCGAAAGTATGAAGACACACGGCCAGGCGTGAATCGGAGATCTTGGGGCTCCTTCGGACACTGCTGGGGGCCCTTCTTTTGCCTCTCTTGGACCTTCTGGGTGGCCTCTTGAGCCGTCTTGAGGCCGCTTTGGGCCGTCTTGGGTTTATCTTGGGTTGTCTCGGATGCCTCTTGGGCCATCTTGTCGGCCTTGGTTGCCTGACTCGACAGTCTTGGAAGCTTGGGGGCGCGGAGTCATATTCTGTTATGAGCGATCGTGGCCTCGGGGGCGCGGGTCTGGTGCCTTTTGCTAAGGAACGTGGCCTCGAGAGCGGGGATCAATCGCTATTGCCGCTATTGCGAAGATCGTGGCCTCGGGAGCGCGGAGCTACGAGTTTAAAAAGGGATCGCGGTCGCCTCGGGTGCGCGGGTCCATAGTTCCCAGCCATCCTGTGGTGTGGGGTTTTCGTTTTGAATAGACAGCGCCTTGCCCCTGCCCCCCGCGCAACCATTTCGGCACCCTGTCGGCACACGCCTCACACGTCCTATGCCCCGAAAAGAGCTCCATCCAAGGCCCCAGTGGCAGGGTCCACATGCGTCCCCCCGCCTAATTTCGGCACACCCCTCACGTTTCGTGTCCCCATAAGGAGCCCCACCTAAGGCCCCGGCGGCAGGGTCCACATGCGTACCCCCGATCGATTTCGGCACACCCCTCACACATTTCGTGCCCCCAGGGGGAGCTCCACCGAAGGCCCGAGTGGTAGGGTCCACATGCGTCCCCCGCCCCACTTCGGCACACACTCCACCTAAGGTCCCAGTGGCAGGGTCCACATGCGTCCCTTCGCCACATTTCTGCTCACCCCGCACACGTCCGTGGCCCCATAGTCATGCGATCGCAAGAGCTCCACCGAATGCCCCAGTGGCAGGGCCCACATGCGTCCCCCCCTGTCCCATTTCGGCACACCTCTCACACGTTTCGCGTCCCCGTAGGGAGCCCCACCTAAGGCCTCCGTGGCAGGACCCACGTGCGTCCCCCCGCCCTATTGCGGCACACCCCTCACATGTTCCGCGGCCCCCCCATAGGAAGCTCCACCGAAGGCCCAAATCGTAGGGTCCGCATGCGTCCCCCTGCCCCATGTCGGCACACCCGTCACACGTTTCGTGTCCCCATCGGGAGCTCCACCAGAGGCCCCAGTGGCAGGGTCCACATGCGTACCCCCCTGCCCCACTTCGGCACACCTCTCGCACGTTCGTGCCCCCCATGGCCAGCTCCACCGAAGGCCCCAGTGGCAGGGCCCACATGCGTCCCCTCTCCTCACTTCGGCACACCTCTCGCACGTTTCGTGTCCCCACAGGGAGCCCCACCTAAGGCCTCAGTGGCAGGGTCCACGTGCGTTCTCCCGTCCCCTTGCGGCACACCCTCCCCCCGTTTCGTGGCCCCACATAGGCAGCTCCACCGACGGCTCCAATCGCAGGGCCCACATGCGGCCCCCTGCTCCATGCCGGCACACCCCTCACACGCTTCGTGGTCTCTTTGGGAGCTCCACCTAAGGCTCCAGTGGCAGGGTCCACATGCGTCCCCTGCACCATTTTGGCACACGTTTCGTGGTCCCACATGGAGAGCGCCACCGAAGACGACTTTCACAACTGCGTCACTCACAGCTGCATATGGTAGGATCCTTCGCTAGGACGAGTTTTGTAAGAGGACAGGGGGTGGTGGTGGTGGTGGTGGTGTTGGGCGATGCATGCGACCGGATGTTATGAGGAAGGGTGGGCCCTTTTAGAAGATCACAGAACGTACCAGACCGCATTCGGCATCCTATCTCGCCTCAACATGCCAGGGGGTGCGGTGGCGGATCTGGACCTGTGTCGGCTGGGCGGGCACACACCGCCTTGCTGTGATGTGGACGGGTGACGATTCTGGCTCCTTTGATTACATCCGGTGGCAAATTCCAACGTATGTGGGCACTGGCTTCTCAGCTCAAGCACATGTGTCAGGCGATATAGATGGAATCTTCGGTGGAAGCCCCGAAACGTATGTCAGGGACCTGCAGTTCAAGTGTTTCATGACCTCCGTAATGGTCATGAGCGGCTGGGCGGGAAACCCGGACAAGCAGCCCTGGACGTGGGGCGAGCCGTACACTTCCATAAACCGACGGTATCTGAAGCTGAAGCAGGCCCTGACGCCCTACTTCTACTCCTTGTCGCGAATCGCTCACAACACTGGGCTCCCACCTGTCAGAGCCATGGCGCTCGAGTTCCCCTCCGACGACTCCGTGATGGCCAGCCACACGGGCAGCTCGCAGCAGTTCATGGCGGGCCCCTCCTTCCTTGTCGCCCCCGTGTACCGCCCTCTCGCCGAGGCTGCGGTCAGGGAAGGCATCTACCTCCCCGCTGGCGACTGGGTGGACTACTGGAGCGGTTCCGTGCTCGCGGGGGGGCGGAGCCTGCCGGCCGTCCCCGTGGCGCTGGAGGACATTCCCGTCTTTGTCCGCGCAGGAGCCATCGTCCCCATGTGGACGAGCGCACGCGGCAGCAGCGGACAGCTCGCTCTGGACATCTACCCGGAGGGCGATTCCAGCTTTGACCTCTACGAGGACGACGGCGTGACGCGCAAGGCCATCGACGGCAGAGCCTTTTCCTGGACGAGGATCAGCTGCCAGGCGCCGCCTCAGGCGCTCCGCCGTGGCGGGGACATCGTGGTGGCCGTGAGCGCCAGCGTCGGCAGCTTCGAGGGTCAGCCAGCAGCGCGAGGGTACCTCCTCCAGGCTCACATGCCTAAGCCGCCGTACTCCGTGCTGCTGTGGCGAGATGGGAAGAATTACACTTTGCGTGCTATGAGCTCCTCGAGCGCCCTGGATTTCTCAGAGTCGGGATGGTTCTTCAGCCAGGCTGTCGCTGGTGGTATCGCATACATCAAGACGCCGTCTTTACCAACAGCAGATCCATGGAGTCTGCAGATCTCCACGAGGTCCAAGTATCCGCACGTTTTCTTTCGTCAGTGCGATGGGACTTCGGCGCAGTCTTTCATGTTTGACCCTACTTCTGGTTACATCAAGCTGAACAGTGATCAGAGCTCCTGCCTCACGATTGGCACGGACAAGGATTTCCAGTCGGGCACACCTGCAGTTGAGATGCAACCGTGCTCAGGGCAAAAGTGGCAGCTGGACCTATCCACAGGCAACCTCCATCCTGCCTCTGACCTGAGCAAGTGCATCGACGTGGATGCCGCCGACCACGCGGCCGAGATCTACCAGTGCGGACACCTTCAAGGGAACCAGCGCTTCAATTTCACATACGACGGAAGCGGCGTGGGACATCACTCCGGCACCTTCAGGAGGGTCGACGACGGGACATGCATGACCGCGGTGAACAACCCGGCGGGCGGCCACGGCGCAGGCCTCGCGCAAGGGCTTCCTCTCTGGATCTAGGCGCCTGGTCGAGCAGGCCGCCAGGAGAGCTGTACAACTGCCCATCTCTCTGGCTGCGCCGTGGAGCATCCGCACGGCTGGCTGCTGGGCTGGAGAGCTGCCGACTGCCGCTCGGATGGTGCAGCGGCGCTCCAGCAATTAGAAGGCAATCGCTCGCAGGTTCCTTGCATGTACGGAAAGAAAAGCCGCTGCAAGGCGCAATCCGCCACGGCGGAGCCCGCACTACACACATTCCAGGTTCTACATTTTTGCAGTCCGAGGGGGTAGGATCCCCCGCATGTCGGACTAATCCCAACTAGCTGGGAATAAGGTGTAGTTTCTTCCGAACATCACGGCAAGCCAAACTGAAACTGATCCCAACCGATCAAGTAACCTCACTGTATGATTGTAATTGTGAGGGGATGATCATACATCCCTAAACCATATAATCTCCTTATTTGTGCACAGCAGTTCCAGAAGCTAACATGACTGTCCTTGTTGGAGCGCGTACCAAAACGGCTTGCGATGCTGTAAAACTCAAGATGTAGATTTGGATGGTGGCGTTAATGGATAGTGTACGCCATCTTTTAGAATAAAGAAAACGTACGACCTCTGGACAACCTTGTGAGGCGTTTCTCAGGGACGCCTCTCAGAGACGCCTCCCAGGGACGCCTCTCATAGACGCCTTTCATAGGCGCCTGGCGGAGACGCCTTCCAGAGGCGCCTGTAAGACGTCTCTCAGAAACGCCTCTCGGAGGCGCTTGTGAGACGCCTCTCAGGGACGCTGTTAAGACGCCTGTAACACGCTTGTGAAACGCTTGTAAGACGCCTGTGAGGCTTCTCATGTAAGACGTCGCGCTGGCGTCTTTTAGAGGTCGCCTGTCAGACGCCTTTCAGAGACGCCTCGCAGAGACGCATGTAAGACGCCTTTCTCAGCCGCCTGTAAGACGCCTCTCAGAGACGCCTGTCAGAGACGCCTGTCAGACAACTCTCAGGGATGCCCGTAAGACGATTCTCAGAGTCGCCTCTCAGAGACGCCTCGTAGAGACGCCTCCCAGAGACGCCTCTCAGAGGCGCCTGTCAGACACCTCTCAGAGACGCCTGTAAGACTCCTTTCAGAGACGTCTAGCAGAGACGCTTTTTCAGAGGCGCCTGGAAGACGCCTCCCAGAGAC